TGTTGCCATGGGGACATGGGGGACAGTTCGAGGAATGTAATTGATAACGTTGTGAATATTTTGTAGGGTGTCAGGTGGTCACATGTCTTGCCTCATGGATGGGGAAGAGGCTTGATCACTGCACTGTACACCTGAAGCTGATGTTGTATAATAAAGTACTATTTCTTAATTATACTTCAAAACTGGCTGTTTCTCAGGTTGAAAAGGGGCCCTTCCAGATTAAAAAAAACAAAAACAAAAAACAACAAAAAAAACCCACAAAAAACATTTTAGATGTCATCAGATGATTCCTGATTATTTGTAAAAGATAACATAAAGACATAAAGAAAATCTTTTGCTCTAAAAGACGGTATATGAATTAAGTTTACTTACAGAGAAGACAAACATGTGCAAATTCTCTAGTTCAAACGTTTGGTCAAACTAAGCTATTGAAACTATAAATCCAACAGTAGAATTAAAAGGGGCAGGAGATTATATGCAGAGTTTACAGCAGTTATACTAATTCGTGGATGGCTTTTGGCTAATCTGCTTGCCTGAAATTCAACATTGGTTCTGTAATTAGCATTTCCTCCATGAACTTGGAGGTATGACAGAGTTTATGCGACCATTTAAAACACCTTAAGTTTAAAAATCCAAAGGGTTAAGTACAGCAGGTGAAATATCTGGTTTAAAGAATTCTTTCACTATTCTGATTGGGTGTTTCAGAGGTTTGTAGTTAATGGTTTAAGGTAGAAAAGGAAATTGGAGTTTAGCAATCTACAAATAAATGAGTTTCTGCTCAAGTTTAATCTATAAACAGACACACATATTGCTCATGAAATCAAAACCAGCTCAAGGCTCTTGATAAGCAGATCAAGGTGGACATATTTTCTGGACTTTGAATTAAGGGATATGTTCTCCTAATTCTATTAGTTATCTTTGTGGTTTATTCTCTTATTGAAGTAACTGGTTTCACTGTGGTTTATATTTTCTTCTTTTTGTTTGTTTGTTTGAATTTGGGTGTGTAATATTACATAGATTTATAATCGCTTCCATTAAATTGCTTCCAAGGATTTCATGGAAAAGTCTGTTGCTGTTGTTTTAATCTCATGGTTTTAATGGGATTTATATGCCTATGGGAGGTGTGTGTGTGTGTGTGTGTGTGTGTGTGTGTGTGTGTGTGTGTGTTTACTGCCCATGGTTGTTTCATATCTTTGTACTTAATTGATCTAGCCGCCTTGTGGCAGTGTGATATTGTTTTAGATCTATCGTTTAGATTGTTTAGTTGGTTATCATTAAAATACCATTTATTGCATAATATAGCTAGGGGGAAATAAATAATGCAGTTAATAGATATATTTTCTTAGCTTATAGGTGTAGATTTTCTGTTGTACATGTATCCTTATGCTATTTGGTTGCATTTATAAAAAGTAAGGTTTTAAATGTATTACTTGTATAATTATGTATTATATGGCAGTAAAACTGGACAGGCAAATGTATATAACCAACTGTTGACATGTAATAAGAAATAATATAAATTCACAACTATCATACTTTAAAACACATATTTATACTTTTGGGTAAAATTGTCTTGGAAGTTAAAAAATAATTAGTAGAAAACTACTCAGATTATATTTTAAACCCTTGGTAGATGGTATGAATTACATTTCTCAACATTTCATGGTTTGTTTTTTTTATTTTCACACAATTTTTTTTTTCTTTCATGGCTCTCAACATTAATTGAAATACTTAGAAACGGCTTCCTTCAAGTAATGATGACTTGTCTGAGTTCAGAGCTCTAGAGGATGAAGTTATGAAAGCAATAAAAGTCAAGTGAAACATCATTTGGAAATACTTGGGATGAGAGACAATACTCGCTGAAGCCTCTTTAGTGCCTTTTACGGCAGACATGACAGCCATTCCTGATCCAGACTTTGCTCACGCTCTGTAGAAAAGAGAAAGTCTGATCATGACATTAAAAAAGAAATTAAACAATATGGTTTCCAATTGAGTACAGTGACAAGCTTCTGCTAACAAGAGAGAGCGCAACAGTCGATACAGAAGTTAGCTACCTGGCCCAATGCCACATGCTAAGGACAGATGCACTAACAGTCACCAGTGCCACAAATTTGTACATGGCAATATTTGTTTCACCTGACAAATATTTTTCAACTTCTTGAAAACCAAGCAGAGTCTGGTTGGGGCTGACTGTCACGTACCCAAGGTAGTGGTAAGTAGCAGACACTGCATCCCACAGTTTGCTGTGGATGATGGTAAACTCCAAACATTAGAATATGAAATTTGGGGGACGGGTGTGTTCATATGACAGAAGGCAGTTACAGTCGTACGTGCCTGCACAGACTTGCTGCATGTTCTGTGAAACCCACGTCTGTATTTTTCTATTTCAATGGTACAGGAAGGCCAGCCATAGGGAAGGAGGGGCTCTCCTTCACCCTTTGAAAGTTACTGTTCACAAAATAAATGCCCCAAAATGCAGATGCACTGGTAAAGCAGTATATGGCTTCTAATTAGGGTTTTCTGCAGGATTTCTAGTTCTCAGCTGTGCTCTAAATCCATGCAAGTGATTCCTAGTAAATCAGGTTCTGTGTCTACACCTATTTAGCAGTGCCCATGTAAATTATGCTTAATTACATGATGAGAGGATTTACCCCCTTTGCTCAATTATTTGGTATTTCCACACTAGAGATGCTTGTTCTCTTTTCCTCTAGTTTGTAGACACGGAATATAAACATTTCAAGAAGTATGATAACAACTCCCTCATGAGAAGCCTTAGGGATCACTCCCAAGTAACAACCATGTTTAATATACAGAGGGTGCCAAAAAATGCATACACATTTTTAAAAAGGAAAACTGTATTAAAATTGTAATATTCAATATGTACCGATAACAAAAGATGAATACAAGTCATGTTTGACTTCTGCAATTACAAGAGGTATTCAAGGTGGTTATCATCAGCATCCAGGCACTCCTGATTATCATGAACTACTGCTTGAGCAATATTGACCAAGGTGTTCCCTTGTATACATTTTTTTTGGCACTCCCGGTATATCACAGTTGAATTTTCCTTTGTCAATTTATTTTGTAGCTTATTGTTAAATCAGCATATATTCCAAACACAACAGAATCTGTGACTTGTGATTTTCTTAGATTAATGCATCGAATCTTGGAAAGTATGTTTTAGACTGTGCACCTGGAATCAAAGCTGAGGAAAATCCACAAGAGAGCTAGATTTTATCCAAAGATTTAAAAAACTCACTCCTCCCTTCCCAACAAGATCAACATTTCCCACATCATTCAAAATGTATAAATTATGTTACATTTCTGGTTTGTTTTATTTCCCTAGCCCCTATAGTTTACTGTTGCCGTGGTTAGCAGTTGAGGGCGCTTGTAAAAAGTTACAGGGGAAACTAAGATGAATCCCAGTGGAGTTTATCAGCATGGTAATTAGGTGACAGTTTTTGGTACTGTCAACTTTTGAAAGAATGTAAGTCAACTTAATTTTCAGAGGATTCAAATTCTACTCCTTTCAAACCTCTGACTTGTGGAGTTATGGTTGAAAAGGAAAAGACTGATATCTCCATCTATGAAAATTTGTAAACAATTTCTAAGGTACTTTGTTGCTTACTTCCTTCTAGGAAAATTTGTATTCATTGCTTGAAAGAAGTCTTATTTTAGATATATAGCAAAAGAGTTCCATTTAGTTCATATTTTTGTCTGTTTTATTTCTAGAACCAACTAGGAAGTCAGGTTCTAATTTTTAAAAACTCTTGAGATAGTTTTTCAGCCTACCCTCTAGCTTCTTGGTGGAGTTTACCATCATGAAAGCCTTTCAGCAGACTGTGGGATGCACGTGACAAAGATGGGCAACCGATGTACCTTGCTGCATGAGAGCTCCAACTCCAAACCAGAAACTATTTAGTAAAGTAAAATTGTTTTCCACCACGTCTGAGTCAGGGTTGCATGGGTGGGGGTTATACCACTCGTAGGGTGTAAACCTGTGGTAGTTAACAGAAACAGCTTGTAAACATCAGATAAACACAGGTGGGACCAGCAAAACCTGCTGAACAATACAGAAAAACCCAACAATTAATGACGAAAGCATCAAACCACAACAGCAGGCCATATTCATAAACATAGCTTTGGCAGACAAAGTGCAAAAGAGCCTTTAGACACTATATTTACCAGACTTCTTATTTCTAGGTCCTCAGATCTATGTTTACTGAATTCTTCCTAGTTTTGACTCATTTTCATTTTACTGAACACCTAAATGGACAGTAAAGAAAGGTTCACTCATCCCTAGTATTTACCCCACCAAGTAGCACAGACAGCAGTGCACACTTGTTACACACCAACTACAATGTCAAGGTCCTATGTTGGTCGGTACCAGGGTGACACACAAAAGAGAGGGGTGACTGGCCTTCAAAGGGTGTCCATGGATAGGAGCTCAAAAGGAGTCTGAGTGCTCTAGTGATTTTCTAACGCATCAAAGGAGCTGCAAGGTTGAAAAAAATCAGTGAACAAAAGGAAGGTCTGGATTTGGGGTGTGGTTAAGTATTTTTAGGATGGACACAAAAATCACAATCCTTAAATACAGAGACAAAGTTTAAACTTAGAAGCATCCCCGCCCAGGCCTAGGGGTTCTTTAGTGTTAACTCCACAACATGGAGAATTTTAGGCTCATAATTCCCTCTTGATTTGTTTTTAATTTAATTGTTTCCAGAACAATGAACTGTTGTCACTGGATCGCTAACCCTAGTTAGTTAAGATGTCGGCTTAACCTTCCTGGCCTCAGTTCCCTTATTTGTAAAGAAGAGGGAATCCAGATATCTCTGAAGTGTGTTAAAATCCGCAGAACTTAATAGGTTTTCAGTTCTTTCTAAACATCTGTCTGATTGCTATAGCCCAGAGGAAGTCCCTGCTCTGTGGTTATTTTGGGGGCTGTCCTGCCAAAATTTTTCCAAAGAGACATTAGCAGATGCTCCATGAAGTGATGTGGAAATGATTTAAAATGCAGTGGTTCTTAGCACTGGAAGCTGTGCCATTGGTTATCGGGTCCTTGTAATGCAAGCGGGAGTGTTCAGGTAATATTAAAACACCGCGATGCCTATGAGAATACATGGAGTGCTCTCCAGCCATGAGGTTTCAGCAGTAAACAATAGTAGGCTGCTGACACTTGGGGGGAACTGAGATTAAGGTGAATATACATTATTTATAGCCCATAGGAGGGTACACTGTGAATTATGCACAAGGAACTGGGCAGACAGTTCCTCTTAATGGAAAAGCATTCTCTAGCCTCCCCCTCCGACCCTCCGGACTTCTTCTGGAAAGTGTAAAGTGTCTCCTCATCAAATCTTAGGGGGACAGGGGTAACAGCCCTGCAGTTTATTCTGCAATAACGTCATCTGACTCGTTACTGTGCCTTCTCCACAGCTGCAGTGCACACGGTACAGGTTCCTGCGCAGCTTATGAATATAGCTTTAATTGACAATGCCATGCCAATACATTTTAATTACGGTGTCAACAATATAATTAAGTTTTGGATTTATACACTCTTATGACCGAGTCATTTGCTGAGCTGAAGAAATGAATGCCAATGTTAATGAACCTACTAATTGAAGCAATATGCAGAGTAAAGATGCCGTTACTTAAACACTATCATTGTCACTTCTATGATAATTTAAAATATTAATTGCAATAAATTGAGAGGCTTATGCATTCAAAAGAAGGGGGCTTTCTAAACAGACTGTAAAACCTGGCAACCGTGAGCCCCTGATATTCTGGCATTTCTCCCGCCTAGAAGCTCTGATCAATGAGCTCACCACTTCCCTCTTTAGAATGCTGCTTTTAGCTCGTCGTGTATCAGTAGTTTATACTTTGTAGTTATAAGTGAACAATTAATCTAATTTTCTATGGCAAAAAGGAAAACTGTCTGAACAGCGATGCGATTCTGCCTGTACTGCAGAGATATTTTAGGTTCTTTCTCTTCAGGTTTCTGAGTGGCTTGGGGAACATGTGGACTGAGGAGTATGAAATTAAATGATATGATGCTCTTGTGAAAGACCTTGGCTTCTCACAATGCAACAGATCTCTGTGCCACCTGAATGTAAATATTTCAGCTTGAAATTCCTAATGCCTGCTTAAAGATATCCAGTGTGACAGCTGTGTCGTCATCAGAAAATCTGGGGGAAAGGTTAATATATGACTTGTGCCAATGATAGTCTGAAGCTACCATCTCCAATTGATACTGATCTTTAGCAAAACGACAGAGAAAGGGACAAATGTGCTTAGACTCTGTGTCAAAACTTGCACATAAAAGAGTATTATTATATTGAAATGCAAAGGTTCATTGTGGATTTATGTTTAGAGATGCCAGGCTTTTACTTGAATGGAAGATATAAAATGATGATCACACTGAAGATCTTTAATTAAGGAACTCTTTTTTTATGGCTGAGAATGGATATTGGATGCATTGAGGAGAGAGAGGTCTGGTTCTTTTTAAAAACTCTATTTGAACTTGTAATATAACTATTGGGTTTGTATTATAACCTTAGAGTTATATAGTCAAAGGTTTTCTTAATTTTTTTTTTGCCAGATGATAACTTAAAAATATGTTCATTTTTAAGAAGGCAAACATACATAAAAAAATGTAAGCAGACATTATATCTGGATATTTGGTCTTTTTAAACTGTGTGTTCATGATGGACATAATTTCTTCAGATTAAATATTCTTCAAAAAGTAATTAGAAAAAAAAATGTCAACCACAAGACAAAAACACTGATGTGCACACACGTAACAAGTCATAGTAACTATAATTTTTATGTAGTTTTCTTTGGTTTGTCCCATTGATGTTTAACTTTATAAATTCAATTCAGTTCAGCAAATGATTTTTAAGCATCAATCTAGCGAGAGCATTAGCCTAAATGCAGCGATGGGCTTTCTTTTTCCTGTTTAAAAGGACATAAAAGGATATACTTCAAAACAAATTCAAAAGCCTCTCAAGCATGAAAGATGATTAAGAGATTAGCTTTTCCTTTCTACTTTACTTACTGTGAATGCAAAACACTAAGATGGCAACAGAAAGCCCTTTTACATCTTAGATTATTGGTTCTGAGTGACCAAGTTCATGGGAATTGATACTACTTATTCAACCAGGATTTTTTCTCTGTAAGTCACCTCCAAAATATATTTTGTAGCTTTATGAAGTAGATAGAAGCAGGAATGGACTGAAAGGTGTGAAGATGAATGTCGAGAGTATGATCCCCAGGACAGTGCACCTGGGCATCACAAGGAGTTACGAGTATTTTCTGTTTCACCACCACATGGTTTACAAGCTTGCATTTGGTGCACGTCACCTCAGCTTCCCCAAGACCCAAAGCAAGACAATGAGAAGGGGCAACAAGAAGAATAAGCTAAATAAAGAAGAGCTAGTTTATAAATGGTACTTTTGGTGAGTAGGAATATTGAGTAGATAGTATTGATTGGAAGGGGGAGGCTGCTTTCTTCATAGAAATAGAACGAAGTCAGAAAATATAGGGCTCTGGGCCACGCAGAGTGTGTAGAAAACAGGCAAAATAAGAAGGAGCTAACTGTGGAATGTTACACTTTCCTGACATTCTGATGACAAAAATGAGGCAATTTAAAAGCACGACGGGTCGAGTGTAAAAGGGTACTTTCAACCTGTGCAATTGTGAGAACTTCTGGTTGCTGCGATCAAGTCAGTGTTATCTATAATAGGGCAATGGCTCATCAACATCGCCTTGCCTACTTGACTCTTTAGCATCACCACCCAGAGAGAGCAGCGGACAGAGGTGCATGGAAGCTCACTTCTCTGCTGCTCTCTGAGGCTTGGATTTCTCCACTGTCTCTAATGTCACCCACCAGGTGTGGGGCCCAGGGCAAAAGAATGGAACAATGAGCCAACATAGAATTTCGTATTCATCGTTAGAGGATACATCACCTTAGGGGAGTCATTTATTAAATGGCCATTCTAGTGCAGTATTAATTTCACTTAGGAACCAGTAATGAGAAATGCACCTCCAAAGGTGAGCAACTTATCTTTTAAAATTTGATATCCAAAACAATATTTTCTTTAATTATTTAGCACATGGTCTCTCAGCCTTGGTGCTATTGATATTTTGTGGTAATCCTTGGTTGTAGGCCACTGTCCTTCATATTATACAATTTTCAGCAGCATCCCTGGATTCTACCCCTTGATACGAGTAGCATCTTCCACTCTCAGTTATGACAACCCAAATGTGTTCCTAGAACATTGTCAACTGTTCCACGGGGCACAAAAATCTCTTAGTTGAGAACCACTGATCTAGGCTATTAAAGTATCAAAGGATCATATCACTATACATATTGTCAATACATTATTTTCTGAGGTAAGACACATGGAAAAAGAGTTCTGGTCATTATTTAAAAGTAGTTTAATATTTGATCAAATTTTGAAAATCAGTCTGGGATTTGGTAATGGTACACTTGAATAGGCATGGGGAAAAAATTCATTTCATATTGAATGTATAAATACCCACATGTGAGAGCACAAGTTTGTTCAGTTTGAATATGTCTGCCTTGTGAATCTTTAAGACCTTTCCAAACTGGGTTATTTTCCCAGCTTTCTTTATAATTATGCCAGGGAAAGAGTTACCTGGCATTAATCAAGACCAGACAGTGGACAATGACAAAGAGCTAGCATGAAGAAGTATTTTTCTTAGAAATTCCTGGAGGGAAAACAAAAATCGATTAGGGAAAAAGTTCACTAAGTTCTGTTGAAAGATGAAAAAGATTGAAAATGAGTAGGGGACATTCAAAAACAATTATTTTCTTTTACATGGTTTATCTAGAAATATCAAATGTTTAAACCAACCAAAAGATCAAATAGCCATGTTTCAAATTCAGCATCAAAGGTATTTGGAAAATATACTGAAAGATATAAAAATCCTTTGAAGAATTATATACAGTGGACTGGTTAAATATAGAGTTATCTCAGAAAATAAAGCCTAAACTGAATCATCAGTAGTGGCATAAAGATTGCATGCTTCCAGACTCTATATGTAAGTAATCTTTCTTTTCATATTCATTTCTAGAATTCTCTTGTCAACTCTCTAATGTTTTAAAAAATAAATTTTATAAAAATATTAAAGTATTTTTTTTCCTGAGGATTTCACAATCTCCATTTTTCTTGTTTTTCTTATTTGCTACAGTAATTCCTAGCTAACATTTTTTCTGTTTTGCTTAACCAAATATTCCAGAGGTCAAATATCTGGATGCCATTTTACTCTTTCTGTTGAAACATTTTAGATTTATTAGCTGAGCTATTGCTTTTGTTGTAGCCAAATTCCGCAAAAATGGAATTTTTATCTTGCTTGAAATACTGATAAAATTAGATTAATATAAAAATTATTTTCTTATTCTCTTTTAAAAGTATCTTAATAAATAATTGGAAGCTATTCATTTACAGAGTTGGCTTTTATGAGGGAGAACTTGACACAATAGAACACTAGGCAAGGCTACAATAACTCTTTAAAGTTCTTAATCTATATTTATCATATAGAGCAATACATATCAACCTAGATCTCTTGTTGTAAATTCAGTAGTCCTTGAACTTACCTTGCAATCACAAAGAGTACACAACTGACTCCCAAGCAGGCTAAGAGCACATACATCCAAATGTCAGGAGACAGGGGGTTAAGGAAGGAGAAGACGCCTGGATTGGTACCATTGGGTTTCCGGTAGAGAATGCTGATGCCCAGGGTCATGAAGGGCTTGGAGAAGTCGATGACTTTCTCCCGCACGTAGGTGATGGTAAGGGGAGCCACCGCCAGATCAGCCCTCTGTGAAAGCAAGTTCAAAATCAGTGTCTCAGTTGTCTAGCTTCCTGGCTAATGCCTGGACTTTCCATGGGTACTCCTGATCTTTAGTCTCAACTCCAAATGTTTTTCACACAAGAAGCTCCTGTGATGACTGGCTTTCATATAACAATGGTTGAATAATACAGTTATGTTTATGAAAGAGTATTTATTAGGAAAGAAAAACCAGAAGGTGTGAAGTACATGCACACAGACAGACCGGCAGACAGACAGACATGTATACGTTCTGAAACTAAATGGAGAAAAAAGCTGAGGAATGGTGTCTTTTAAAAAAGCCTGTGAGAAAAGCAAGGAAAGAGTAACTTGGTCATATAATTAGTTGACAAGATGAGGTTTTGCTCTGAGCTGCAAACTTTAGAATTCTTTATCTAATTTCAGAATCATCCGGGTTTATTCTTCAGTATGGAGGATGGCCCCCTACATTTTTATCTTCAATTTTTATCCTCACTTGCCCTTCCAAGTAAGCAAACTCCATTTCTAGGTTGTTTTTTCCTACTTTTTGAATCATTTTTAGAATTCCAAAAAGTGAAACATTTCTTCTGAATCAACAATTTTTTTCTTTTTTCTTTTCCTTCTTCTCATTATGCATTTTTTTCATAACTTTAAAACCTATATATAGGAAATGTATTTTTGCTTACGTGATCTATAAGCTCTTTGACCATTCCATTCCACTCCCCTTTGTCATTCTGGGCTCCGTATTTTCCATCGGGGACAAGTTTAACATCATAAATAAAACCCAAGATGTTTGACAATTCCTTCAAAAGATCCAGGCAATATCCTTCGAATCTGTCATTTCCATATAGCGGCTTATCAGATTTCCTGTACATCACATAGGGTTCTTCCTACATGAAACAAAACAAATATGAAAACCCTGTTATAAGGAAAGGCAGAATGTCCTTCCACAAACTCCATCAGCAGCCAGAAGTTATAAACTATTTGAAAATGATTTTTAAGATTTGAGAGTGCTGAAGCCAATCACTTACCTTCCTGCCTTTGTTAAATTCATTCTCCCTATACCCTCTGCAAGTACAGAAAACTTCACTCATTACTTTCTCTTCCTCCTCTCTCTTTGAATGAGAAGGTTTTCTTCTATTGCTGAGGACAGGGCTGTGAGTAGATGGTGTGACAGAGGCTCAGTCACGTGTAAGCTTTAGGTCTGGCACAGCAGGCAATCAGCGGCCAGATGTCTAGAAGCCTGTTCTCCAACTATATCCATGCCCACACTTCCCTGCATGGCCTGCCCTCCCTCCTCGCTTTTATCTATGAGCTTCACCTACTAATATAAAGGAAATATAAATCAGTAAATTTACCATCTTGTTCTTCAAACTTCCTATTTGCTGAATATTATTTCCTTATCTCTCAGCTACATTTTATCTCAATTTCACTCTTCACTGATTAGCTACAGATTTTTGGTTGGTTTCCTTCAGGGTGTCTTATTCAAAGACTATTTCTATGTCATCTTTCATCAGCAGCTCCATGTTCTTATTTGAACTCACCTCAAATCTTGTATCTGGTAATTCTTTGCTTATACACTTACAGAATAAATCCCTTATTCTATGAATGGACATTTCCTTACTACCATGTATCTACAATCTTAATTATCATTTGACTAATTGAAAATTTATTTTACTTTATAAAATTCTATTAGTTACTATACTATTGATATGGTATTTTATTTTTTTCTTGTTATGCATTTTTTTCAGACATTTAAGACCCATTTAGGCTTATCCTCAAATAAACTGATAGAAATAGAAAACTCTATATTTCCATGAGATAGTTGCAGAGGAAGTAGTCACCAAAAAAAACAAAACAGTTTTTATATTGGATGAACAACTCTCAGAAGTTAACAATTTTAGAAATACATTGTTCTGACATTATGGACTGAATCAAATCAAGCAGGAATGTCTGAAAGGGAAGATTTTAGACAGGGTCACTCCTGCCTTTTATCCTTTGGGTTAGGTTTGGGGAAGAGGAAGAATTAACAACCCGTGGTTTTTTTTAGTGTATAACCAGGGTTCCAACAGGAAGCAGGAAATAACTTTACTTGGGCTTTTGAAGAGCAATTAATATAGGGGCTATTTACAAAGGAGTGAGAAAGGTGAAGGGAGACAACAAGGATGGAGGTAAGAGAAGAGGTAGGGTGTAGACACCCAGGGACAAACACCCAAGAAGCCCGTACCACTCAGGGCTGAGGCAAGCAGGAGGAAAGAGTATTCCTGGAGTCTGGGAGTAGAATCATTGGTAGCATAGGCTCTGTGGTTGTGAAGGACAGAGTTTCTGACAAAGCCACTGGGAGGCAGGGAAAGACATTTTCTTATGTCTCTTCCCCACCTTCCTGTGCTCTTGTCAGAGTTTCCCCTTGGTTGAAACCAACCAGCAGCCAGAGAGCAAGGGATGCCAGCTTGGTGGGGCTAGAGGCTGGGGCAGAGCAGAGCTGACAGTGGATTGGAGGTGGGAGATCTTTAGAACATTGTTGGAAGCTTATAATTCAATCAATTATAGGTATATAGAAACACATGTTTGTAGTGTTCCAATTAAAAGCAGATATCTGCAGACAGAGTTGTTGGTATGGAAAAGATAGCTGAGGAATCTTTTGAGGCTTAGGGTAGGAGTCTGGACAAGAGGGGTCTGGATAAGATGCCCTGAATTCCCCATAGTTCACTTACCAGAATGGTGGTGACGATGAGTGTTCGGTTAGCCAGTGAATCGGTGATATTGTTGGACCTGTCTTTGTTACCATCCGTCATGTTAAGCCCACTGTTGGAATTCCAAATCCCAATCTACATAGAACACAGTACATCAGAGGCTGCTGGCTGTCAGTGATGCCATTTACACTAAAGAGAGGCCCCTTCTACACAGGAATGGACGACACACATGCTCGTAGTCTGGGAAGAGGACACCAGGGCATCACAGGGGAAGCTACAGATTGTGGGGAAATGAAACAATGGAGAAATGAATCTGTAAATGGCACAGGAAAAATTTGGGCTATTTAGGGTGGAGCAGGGAGAGGTCTTTTTAGTTTTGATTTATTAAGCTCATTATTTTTTAAATGAAAAATTCTTAAAAGAGTATCAATTTTTTTCTTCCAAATGTATTCGTTGAGCGCCTTCCTATATGCCAGTCACTGTTCTAGGCATTCTAGGACATAGCAATGGATAAAACAGACCAAAATGTCTGCCTTTGTGGTGCTAGCAGTCTATTGAAACAAACCTCACATGGCCAAAATGGTACTATCAGTGTCTTTAACATGTATAAAGAACGGGACGAAGAGAGTAGAGTGGAAGATGGAGAGACTGCGTATCTAAAGGGGGAAGGTCATTGGAAGAAAAGGTGTGGATGGGCAGCAGACTAAGTTCTGGGCCTCTCTTCATTGAAAAGCCAGCGCTGGGAGGGGAGTGGTAGCTGGTGTGGGCCCTAGTAGCACTCTGTTTGTACCTCTGTTCTGGGCCTGCCTTCTGTATTCATTTGTTTACCTGTCTTATCTGTCCACTTGACTATGAACTCCTTCAGTGAGGGTATTCACTTTTATTGCTCGTTGATCTTTATATCACCTAAGCACCCCTGGTGACTGGCAGTCAGTGAAGCCCATTTCTCTTTTAAAAAAATAATGACCCACAATTTTCTCCAGTTGCCAAGTCAATCGTGGGTTGTTAAGCCCTATAGAAGTATATTGATGTGTTGAGCATCAGGAGAAGAGCCTGAGGGAATGGGGCTATTTGTCTGAAGCCCTCTACAGGCATTTGCTGCCAGCTATGTGGGACAAAATGCAGGTGTGCTTCAGAGCCAGGAGATCCTAGTTGCTGTGTGACCTTGGACAAGATGTTCACCTTCCTGAGCTTTGGTTCTCTGTAAAGGACGTCATAGGGATATTGAAACTATCCAATGAGAAGATGCATGTGAAAGTGTTGGTATACATTAAGAGCTACACAAGTATTAATAATGACACCCAACTGACCAGGATATGAAAAACAGGGACAGTTTAGGAACACGGACATTTGGGCAAACTCTGGTATAGACTGGGTAGCCCTATGCTTGACCCCTAAATATATTCCCCCACTGGGAGGACATTAGATTAGCGGGATAGAATATGAGCTTTAAAGACAGACTTTTGTCCAGATCCTTGCTTTGCAATTTACCAGTAGTGTGACCCTGGGCAAATTAATTAATCCTGCTGTGCCTCAATTTCCTCACCAGCAAAATAGAGATAAAGGCTTTTCTGATGATCAAATATCACCTATGGGAATGTTAGGGTTCTCCTTTCCTATGGCTTTACTTTGATTTACCACCTAAATACAGCAGCTGGAAATTCATTTAGCTTGACAAATATGCTTTTTAGAAACGGAAATTCTTTGAGGAAGTTTCAAGGACTATTACACATTCACACAGCAGTGTGAACTATTTCAGTTTTACTGTTTCCTGTCATACTTAATAAGGGTTGGTTGGTTGGTGAAATAAGGAGGTAGTTTTTGCATTTGAAAGTATTTTGATCCTGTCTGTACAGAGGTTACTAAAAGTAGAGTTGGGATGTAAGACAGCACCTTCAATAACCATGCAGTCTTTCCAGCATCAAGTGCAATGTCTGTCACTTAGAACACGCACAATGTCTGTTAATTGAAGAATCTTCAGTTTTCCTTGGCTGGCTTTAAACTCCAAAAAGAGGGACAACTTTTTCTTCTCTCTCTTCTCAACTTTCACCCCTTCTCTCATTTTTTTGAGGCAGAGACTCTTGCTTCTAGGAAACATAACTCATGCTAAACACACCTGGAGTCTATTGGTTGTCATCTAAAGCTATGCTTTATTTAGGCTGTGAACAATTGACTTCTAACTTTATACAGACTGTGTATAAATTGGGCCTGGCTGTACTTATAATTAACTTTGACTTAGTCACTGGGGAGAATGGGACCTAATTTTTAATTAAGTATTGAAAAGTAGAGAAATTGCTATTCTGTTTGTAGCCAATTCATTAGATTAATTAAATAATGGAATGTGTTCTCTTTAACTCTTATGTATATAAATGCCAAGTGTGTGTTTAAAGAAATATACTAATATTTGAAAGTGGCAATGTGAAACAGCCTCACAGTATTCTTTTTAAAAACACCAACTTGAAATCATAGACAAATATGCTGCACAGCTTAATGTCTGGCTTTAATTTTTTTTTTACTGGCCCTACTAAAAGTGCAGAGGTTAGATATTGCTGCTGTGTTTCCAATCAACTGAGTCCCAGTTTCCCATTCATTGTGAAGCTTCCTCCATAAGATCAGAAAAAGGAGAATACTTTTTTTCTTGTTTAGCAAAAGTTCCTTCAAATTAGACTAAAAGACTATCAAAATATAGTCAAGGTCAGGCTATTTCCGGAAAGTGATCTTTTAATCTTTTTAATCAGCAAAACAAAAGTGTGTGTGTGTGTGTGTGTGTGTGTGTGTGTGTGTTTTAAACCTAAGTAGTCAACTCTCTTTACCTTTTAATTCAAGTAAATGAACATCAGCAATTGAATTTCTCTTTCTGAAGAAGCAAGTCTCATGAGCTGTGTGTTAGTAGGAGGCATGGAGTTAACTGGATGCCTAGACATTTAACATTTTAGTCCTGGACTGCCTCCAGGAAGTAGAACCTCAATTTTCAAAATGTACATTAAAAGCACACAGCAGTAATTTACCAATGAGAAGTAGCGGAGGGTGGATCAATTATTTGTGGGGAGAAACACCCAGAAGCTAAATAGTGTGGTCCTGCCTACTTTCACTTTGTAAACGGGCATGTGGGAGCAGCCATTTATGACCTAGGACAAACGTGAGGAAGTGTTTCCAATGACTGCCCAAGTGACATTAAGCAAACATTTCTGTTTTTAAAAAGGTGGTGCAACAAAAGTACATTCAGAGCGTGACTAGTATCTGTCTTCCAAATTGAGGGAGTGATTCATACAGACTCAAAATCCTAAATTGCTAAGGGAAATAATGAACTGTCTAGGAAAAAATGGAAGGTTTACCTGTTTCTTGTATGATGAGCCACACGAACACCTATTTTAGTGATGGCCTTTTTAAAGATTGGTACATCCTTTTTTTGGAAATAATTTACAGTGAACTATTCTATACTAAAAAAGGTCAGAGTGCAGAGAAGAGCTTCTCAAATTGGAATGTGATGAGGGTAAACCCTCTTTTAAGATGGAGTCTTGTTGGGAGAGGACCTGTGTTTGTCAGGTCTGAATGGGTCTCATGTGCTAGCACTTGGGTTACCGTACAATGTTGATGAGCAGTCATAACACAAACAGCACACCATAGCCTATGAGACTTACTACGTGGGCGATGGGGGGTCTGCAGGGAGAAAGGGACACAGAGGTAGGGAGGAAGAGCAAAGTCGAGAAGGTGCATCCCTGGGAAGTGGGGTGATGATTGCAGTTTAGTGACAAATAAAGGACACTCCCCGCCCCTGTGTATAATTTCAGAGCTTGGGATCCACCCTCTAGGATATCAGGATTGGATTAATTTGACATTCATAAAGCGCTTGGAGTCTCCAGCTGGATTAGTGTGATAAGCTTCTTTCTGGGTGCCAGGTGGGTTCATCGTTTTATTAGCAGTGAGGAAATGGTATTGCCTTCTATGGGCCTTTGGTAGCTGATTCGCTGAAGAGTAAAACAAGGTTATTAAATCTGTGGGGTCTTGTTAAACTTAAAAGGAGGGCATCTTTGAGCTCCTCTACTGAGTCCTAGCAAGAGAGAGACAAACTTTTTGACTACAGGAGAAACTGTTTACATTTTCTGTGGTCTAACTGATAATTCAAAAGATGAATGCGAACCTGACAGAACTGTTTAAACTGAACAACCTGAAGTAATTTAAGGACCATCTGTCCATCAGTAGATATTTCAGCAAGTAGTTTTGGAGAGAGAGAATAAAAGACAATGCTTGCATATCACTGGGACATTTATCTGATCCAAACGTTTTTAATGTCTAGCATTTGCTTATATAATCTGTGCACATTCCTTGGCAACATGATACTGTAAAACATGAAATAGTAGGTGTTATAATTTATAAGCTCATCTAATTTTCCTTCCAGAGTCTCTAATGTTTTTGTCCTCTGGAAACTCTTGTTCTAATACAAATTGTGAGAAAATATGACAAAGATATCACACAAAACAAAGATAGCTCACAAGAAAAGGGAATTTCTGCAAAGAGCTCGTACTTTGTGGTGCTGACTTTGAAGGTAAAGCCCTAGCCTTCTGAGCCTTAGCCTGTCTGACCAGTCTGATGAATCAAATCTATTGTTGCTTTCGCGCCCCTTAGGAAAAATATTTAGTGATTTGAGAAGGAATATAAGTACACCAGTGTCTGCTTCTGTTGCAGTTACCTGCTTTCAGTCCTAACAAAGACTGATCCTGCCCGGGAGAAACAAAAATAATCTCGGGGAAAATATTTAATCCATCATTATTTAATCCACAGCTAGCCTGTTTTCAATTCACGCTTGGGTAATGTTGTTGAGAGAGAGCGTATTCAATCACCCTGGCTCTCCCTTTACATAGAATATCGCCTCTAAACTGCAATTGGAGGGCGACTGGTCTGGAAAAACTGGAAGGAGGCAGGCTTTTCCTTTGACATTTCCCACCCCACCCCCAGATTTCCTGCAGTTTTTGTTCGAGTACAAACCTTCTTCCACACTTTATATAAGTGTTTAGACACTTCGCCAGCAGCCTTGGTTTTCAGAGGGAAAGATAAAAATAGCACTTAATTAAAATGGAACAAGGACCCCAAAAGGTAACATGGCGTTTGAGTGCTCAGTGCTACACTCCCCACCCACTGCTTGGAATCTTGCATCATAAATCAATATAAAGCCTGAGAACAGGTACAGTAAACAGATGAGCCAAGTACTTGGGTCCCACAGAACTTGATTTTCACTTCTTTCACACACCAAAAAAATGATTTAAAATTCTTTTGATTATGCACAGCTATGCTGCAGAGTTAAAGGGACTTCATTATTCCTGTAAAAGACCTGCTCAAGGCATTCATAACCAAAATCAATCAATCAACCAACCCATTAGTCATTGTGCGTGCGTGCACGCGCGCGCGCACACACACACACACACACACACACACACACATACACACACACACACATTATTCTTAAGTGAGAAGAAAGCATGCTTGATGACTTATTATTTGATTATGGACTTTGAAGAAATAGAAACTTGAGTGAAAGTGAGAAAATGGGCTGTTTCTAACAATTTTCCTTGTGGACCCCGCAGAAGCTGACATAAAAAGATTGGGCATTTCCTCCCTTGGCTCCTAAGGGAGATGAGTTCGCTTCCCCCATTGCCTTAAGGCCCAATCAGCCTTCTCAGGTATTGAGCCCAAGTCACCTGAAGAAAGAAAAGTTATTGCAAACAATGAAGAGATAAGAAACAAATTGAGAAAACACTTTCATCTAATTTGATTTTGCCTTTGATGGAAAAACACCAATAGAATGTGCATAATATTGCAATGTACAACTAGCTGTGAAACATAAAGCATAACAAAAGCTTCCTCTATTTCATCACCCATCTGAGCCAAAAAGATGTTTCCTTAACAGCTTTTCTTCCCCCTTCTGTTCTGTACATTATGAGAGGCGGAGAGGGAGAGAAACAGGCAAGCATAGAGAAGCAGACATTTTCTTTAAAAAATAAGCAAATCAGAGTGAAGAAGTACCAGAGAGGAGAGAGAGAGAGAGCCAGAAAAAGAGGGAGAAAGAGTGAGAGAGTGAGAGAGCACTTTTGAAATGGGAAATCTGCATGTATAATGTGGACTCTCAAAGCTGTAAACTAATTATTTTCCTCAAACATTTCAATACCAGTGGTCACCATCTATTACATTCAGTCTAATTACTCTTTGTTTGTTTTAATTAAGCTATTTGGGGGTGGGGCATAGTTAGGACCTAAAAACAAATGTGCCCAAGTTAAAAGCAACAAAACAGAAATGTAAATCTTATCTTATTTTAAAAATCAACCAAAATACTTCAACTAAATAAGCAACTGTTCCCAAAGCCACTCTTTTATATTAAGCATACCTTCTTGTCTACTACAGCAAAAAAAAAAAGCAAAACAAAACAAAACAAAGTTAAAGAATTTGCTGTTCAGATGAGTATTTTGGGGATTTCAAACCTTTTTTTCTTTAAGATTCTTAAGGCTGAAATCTTCACACACTAGTGTTAATTAATTCCAAATTATAGCTGTGAATACTAAAATTGATGTAATAAAACATACAGAGAAGCCAAATTCTATTATTATTTAACTAAATAGTTTACATTTTAATTGCTCTAAATAGTAACTAAAATGGAACTTTAAACTTTGGGAGAGTGAGAATTACACCTAAAAATAAATCCTAACATCAGAACCCAACATTAAAATACATTTTTTGGCATATTTCCTCCTAAAATTAAGAATGCAAAGTTAGATTGCTCCAGTAAGCCTTTTTTATCCTGCCTTATCCTGTCCCTCTATCACAAATCTCAAAATAGAGTGCAATTAAAATTAATTTCTGAATAACCCTTGGATATCATTCCAAAGTTACATCATTGACAGCCTCTGATTTTTTAAGTTTAAACTTGATTTCTTAAAACCTTTGTGAAATGGGGTTAATGACACCCACCCATAGGGTTTTATGCATGTACGGATATAACCATGCTTGCCATATAAACCAAGCACTGTGAGCGTTCATCAGCATTGCTATTAATAACACGTATAATTTCAGAATCTAGCATGTCAACATCTATCTGCAGATCTGGGAGAGAGATCTCGTAAAACAGGCATAAATAAACACATTGAGAGAATCATTTTCTTCTCATCCCTCTACTTGTCCTTGCAATTAAAATGCTTGAGCAGTGCTCTTTATTTTATTTTTAAATTTATTATTGAGGAGGTTACCTTCTCCGTTCCTTCCTCTTTGAGACTAATAATGTCCAGATCAAAATCCTTCCTCAAGCCATCGGTTTTATTGAAGGTGATACGCCCAGTCAAGCCATCCCACCGAGCCTATGGACAAAAGGAACGTGGCGTTACTGTTTAATGCTGATCATAATCCTAACACCATCAAAATTGTAATTCCTCAGATTCATCACAGTATCCAATTATTCGGTTTCATCATGGGGGTTATAAACCACCACCTTGGTTCAGTAGCTGGAGAGCAGAGCACTCCACTGTTTTACTAGCGCTCATTTATTTTGTCAGTTATAACATCTTAACATCAGTCAAATCTGTAATAGTACCGATCTAAATGGGCAGGATGGAAAAAAGTGACTGTAAAATAGCCGGCACAGGGAGCAAACAAAGTCTGGGAAGGCATCATGTTCTGTATGCCAAGGTCAATCCAAAACATTTTCAAAGTACTGCCCAGGGGAGGAACTCTTTCCCCCGCTCTGTGAAAAGGATATAATTCAGTGATCTATTATTGAATTTTTAGAGTGTTTTTGAGGGTCGTTTAGGCCTTCCAAAGTCATCTGACATTATATTAGTTTCCTGTGGCTGCTATAGCAAATTATCATACATTTTGGTGGCTTAAAACAATAGAAATTTGTTCTCTCACACTTTGGGAGGACAGAAGGAAAAGTACGAAATTATCACGGGGCAAAATCAGTGTCGGCAGGGCCCTGCTCTCCCTGAAGGCTCCAGGGAGACTCTGTTCTGTTTCTTGTCTCTTCCTGCTTCCAGTGACTGCCGGCTGGCTATCTTGTCTTGTGGCTGCATCACCCCAGTCTCTGCCTCTGTGGCCACATGGCCTTCTTCTCTTCTATGTATTCTCCCTCTACCTTGCTCTTATAAGGACACTTGGGATGGCATTTAGGGTCCACACAGATAATCCAGGATAATCTCCCTTCATATAATCATATGTGCAAAGTCCTTTTTTACCATATAAAGTAACATTTACAGGTTTCAGAGATTAGGACGTGGATATCTTTTGGGGGAGCCATTATTCAGCCTACCACATATATCAACATCGTTTTAGGAATTAAAAATCACGGTACTTTGCCTTTCACAGAACTCACGTTGGACATCTTTGGGGGTCTCATTAAATAAAAATTAGTGGCCCTGGAAGCTTTTGAGCTTCAATCTTTAAGTGATTTTTGGAAACCTTGTCTATTTTGAGTTGACTTACAAATGAGGATACAGGAGAACTCGGCCCTATATATACACTGAGCTGTTTTGGTTTTTTCCCCTCCTGACTTTACCAAATTCAGACATGGGGAAGATCTGAAGAGTTATATTTTATCACAGTATTTACCCATTTGGTTAAGAGATACAGCAATGCAGTGGAAAGAGTTTAAGTTTATCACAGAGGTAGGTTTGAACCTCTGAAGTATGACTTCAGGCAAATTATTTAAGCTGAACTTGGGTTATCTTTGATTTCAGTGTTTGATTCATGAAGGATTAGGGGACATTTCTATGGCACTTAACACAATTCTTAACACACTAAAAGCCTTTAAAATTTTATCAATGGTTATTTTTACTACTGCCTCTTATTTTCTTTCCCCACGTTCCCAACTCTACAGTTTGGCTTTTATTACCTCACACGTCAGGACTCACATGTGTAGTTTTTTTTTGTTTGTTTGTTTATTTGTTTTGGACTCTTCTATATTTTATTTTACAAATCAATCTCAGATTTATTGTCTCAAAATGCAATTTTCACATTCATGTAATTTCTTCCAACATATAAAGTGCATAATGGATCCGTGCTACCTACAGAGTAGTCTAAACCTTGACTTTACATTAGAGGTTTTGATGGTTAATTTTACATGTCAATTTGACTGAGTCACAAGATGCTCAGATATCAAGTTAAATATTACCTCTGGATGTGTCTGTTTGAGTCAGTAGACTAAATAAAGCAAATTGCCCTCCCCATTGTGAGTGAGCATTATCTAAGCAATCAATTGAGGGCCTATGTAGAAGAAAAAGGCAGAGAAAGGAAAATTTTGCTCTCTGACTATTTGAGCTGAGACATCGGTCTTCTGCCCTCGGACTGGGTCCTACACCATTGGCTCTCCTAGCTCTCATCTTCTCTGTGACAGAAACTATGTGGGAATATAGCACCCAGCAATTTACAGTTTAGTAAGAACAAGCACGTTAATGTATTTCAATGGAGCCCCATAAGTGTGATGATAAACGTTTGCACACAGTAATGGAAGAAAGTAGTATGGAGAAGAAGCACTCATCCCAATTGCAGGGATAGACAGAGTCAGCAAAAGATTCCTGGAGGATAGAAAACCTGAGCTCTCAAAGGATGAGAAGTTGGCCAAGCAAAGATCCACAGCCTGAGAAAAAGCATGAAATACAGCATAAATTATGCTTGTCAGGGATCTATAATGCAAGGTGAGGAATGATGAGAAATGAGCCTAGAAAGGCAAATAGGTGCCCGTTCATAAAGGCGTTATGAATCGTGCTAGTTTGCTTGGACTTTGCTTCGTAGAAATTTGGGAATCACTGGAGTGTTTTAAAGCTAGGGGTGTCATGAAAATGTGAATTAGAAGAAGACGATTTTAGCAGAATTGGGGAAGATGACTCGGAGAATGTCAAGATTGTAAGCAGGGGGCTGGTGAGTAGGTAGTTCCCATAGAACAAAATTGATGGAAGTGTATTTACATGCTCACATATGAATATTTGGACCCCATAGCCCCTTTATCTCCCCTTTCTAGCCAAATTTCATACCATTAAATATTAATGGAAATAGTTCCACGGCAGGGTGGACAGAGCTTCTTGAAGAAAGCATTGCCATAGGAGTTCTTATATAAAGAGTATGTTATGGTATCGAATTAATTGTCAGGAACCAACACAATTAACCAAAACTGATTTTCTGGCTACCATTTAGGTGGAATGGAGGTCCTGACAGAGGTACATATTGTCACAATAATACTGGAAGTTAAGTCAAACTAATGTCAGGAAGTGATGTGTGGCAGGAAAAGCCTACAACTCTCATCTAAGCCTTCTATATGGCCACATGAGATGAGTTGCTCGAGTACTGGGACATAAGAAGAAATGCTTCTTCGAAACCCAGGACTTGGCCTCCAGTTTGCTGCCAAGGGAGATCAGAATGCCAAACACCAGCACCAGCTTTCAAAAAGAGGTGGCATATTTTTAAAGTAAACAGAAACACCTGTTTTTACACTTGCTGGGATACAGCTAATCACATTCTCTGGACCGGGACAAAAAAATCAGTATCGAATGCAAGTAGGGAACATCATCTTTGTATATTTACATACACCTCCTTGGCACTGCAGTATCCTTTTCCTCCCCGTCATATTCTAGTCCTACTCCCTGTACTCTGGTCCCTTATTTTGCAAGTTAAGGCTAGATTCGTGGATTGATTGGTTAAATGAGAGTCGCCAAATAAGCTACTCTGTTAGGGTTATAGCATCTGCCTGAGTGGGGAAACAATTTGTCTAAGGTTTCGATTTAGTGGAAATCTCTATTGTGTTAGGGACTTGGACTAAGTCGGTTTTCAGGCTCCTCCTTTATGCTTCTAAAAGTGTGCTGTTCTAACCTCCCTCCAGATCTGTTTGGAAGGAGGTAGTTATCTTTGTTAAGTTCTATAGGATTTTCAGAAAGCATTTGGCTGAAGGAAACTTTTTCTTCATGGGGGTCATGCTGTGAGTCAATTCGATACCTTGTCCGGAGTTTATGGAGCACTCTGAAAATATACAGAATTGGTAGCATTTATCTCTTGATGTAGCATATAGTTCATAGCAGGGTCTTAAAACCCACTTCAGAAATTCAATTTCATTTCCACTAAGTGTGTCTATTGTGTTCTTTTGTTTGGATTCTGTTGCATTGGTTTTATTCTTTAATTTAGTGTTCCAATCACTGGTGCAGAGTAATTCCCACTTTTTCTCGCTTCTCCTCCCTGCTCATCCAAGTGGCAAAAAAACATTCTTTTTTCATTCTCTTACACTGCTTCCTTCCCTGCCTCAAATATCTGCAAAGACTCCCTGCCTGGTTCTTTATTGAATTGAAATATCTTTTGACCTTCAAAGTTAAGTTTCCCTTAGTGCCACAATTACCTGTGTTTTCCTGCTTCCTATCTCTAGAGGAACATGTCTGTACTTGTCCTTTTCCTTTTTTTGCAAACTAATTGTTGATAAGCATTTATTAATCACCAATGAATTATTGACGAGAGTGAATAGATAATGACTAATTCCTGGATATGGTGAGTAAGATCCATACAGAATCCATTTTCTGGGACAGGGCTGAAGCATATATAATTTAGATAATGATACATAATTATATTAGTCATAATTACAATTTGCTCGCCGTATGTAGAAGTATTGGCACAGGGGACAATTATAGTATACTTAACTGAAAACAATACTTAAGCTATTGTCTTTATTTTAGGAAATAACTTTAATTTCTACCCTGCATTAGACCTCTTGACAACAACTGCTTGATAGCAATGAATCAAATGATGTGACTTTTTCTTTTCTCTTATCGGACACATTATCTGATGGCCAACAGACAGAAATCAGAGATAAAAGAAGAAAAACAAAGTTTTTATTAATGTCTTGTTTATGTCTTATTTTTCAAGACGGTATTTGTTGTCCAAATAAAATCTATCAATCTATCAATCTATCTATCTATCTATCTATCTATCTATCTATCTATACACACACACACACACACACACACACACACACACACATACACACACAGAGGGTGTCAAAAATGTATACACATTTTAAGAAAAAAAACATTAAAATTGTAATACTCAATATATACTGATAACAAAAGACGGATACAAGTCTTGTTTGACTCCTGCAATTACAAGAGGTGCTCAAAGTGGCTACCATCAGTGTACAGACACTTCTGATTATGGTGAATTACTGCTTGAGCAATATTGACCAAAGTGTCCACTTGGATACATTGTTTGGCACCCCCGGTATATATCTTAGTATTGAGGAAGTAAGTACCTAGCACTTAATTGTACACTCTAATAATAGTCAACTTTTACATTCATTTAGTTAAAAATGATTGCTTGTATTTATATTTTT